AAAGTATGTGGTGAGTGCTTCACTAAATATGTAGAGGAGATGCCAGAGTCAGGAGGGCAGTCTTCTGGCACATAATGCATTCCTGGACATGTACAGCAAAAATTTAGTATGCAAATATCTTTGTGTTTGATGATATTACCTTCGATGGAATTAAGTTAATGAGGAACATGCCTCTCTCTCTCCCTCTCTCTCTTTCTTCTGTTTGTGTGTGTGTGTGTGTGTGTGTGTGTGTGTGTGTGTGTGTGTTTGTGTGATGACTTTTTCCTGTGTTTCCTGGCCTTCCTTGAATTCCTGGGCTCAAGGAATTCTCCTGCTTCATCCTTTTGAAAAGCTGGGACTACAGATGTTTGCCACCCTGCCTGGCTAGAGCATGGCTTCTTTGATTGCCCTTTGCAGAACAAGAACCTTTGCATAGGTTGGGCCCCAGCACTGGATGCGTTTTTCATCTCAAGGAATGACTAATCCATCCTTGTTGGTACCAATCCCAACCAGTTCCACCAGTATCAGAGCTGTAAAAGACAGGGGGAAAATCATAATAGCCCTAGTTATTTCATCATAAGAACCAAATACATTACTTGAAAGAAGATGAAATTATATTAGTTCCATAGAGGTTTTATATATAGAAAATATAAAAAAAAAAAGATTTTGAGTTATGGTAAGATTATTACTGACAGCCTAACCCTGGGAGCTACCTTGATCCTAGATGGCTGGATTTATATGATTGCCCATATAATAAATAGACAAAAGATGGTAAAATGAGTATTGAACTTGATGCAGTTCCATCAACTCAGGAGAAAGCAGTTAGATTGCTTTTCTGTACCTATCCCACAGACACAATTATAATTTAAAGAAACAAAGGCCATGTGATAGACATGTGTATATTTGCTTGATCTGAAGAGAAAGCAATCTGGAAAAAAAGGCAAGAAATGTACAGATGCAGATTTAGTTAGTCTGTTTTGTCCCAGAATAAAAAAAATTTCCATTTCCATTTTCTTTGGTGCCTGTCAGGGTGGGAGGTGGAAGCCCCAAGGTCCTCCAGCTTCTACCCTCAGCATGAGGAAGTAAGTCCCAATTTCAGTGGGGTGCCTCCAAATTCAGTCTGTTTAAAGGCTGTTAATTGTCAATAGTTATCAAATGACAGTGTAATATCTCCTTGTTCAAATGCATGCCAGAGATGTGGGAAGGGTTGTTGAAGGGTGAGTATCAGTTGGTGCAGAGTAAGAAGAAAAAAAGAATGAAGCACACAAGAGTTGAATCTCTTATTATTTGGTTATGTTTGAGAACTTGGAGACCTTGTTACCTAATCCTCCATTTCTCAGGCTAATCAGACAAAGAATTTGAATCAGAGTTGAGATAATGAGCTGATATTATTTTCAAACACTCAGACCTGGCATCACTCACATCAGAAATCTATTGAGAGTCTCACAAGTTATAATTGTTCTTACAAGACTTCTAAGCCAGCTCCCAAGGTCTGCTCTTCACTCACAACCACCCATTTACCAAAAAGCAGGAAGCCACCTGCTCAGACACCTCTAGGTCTAATCAAAAATCTAGGATCATCTTTTTGGAGTTCTGGTGCTGGATATGCTCTCTGTAGTAATATCTGCCATGAGATGGGTGGGTAGAGATTTGTGGTTCACCTGGCCGTGCAGGATGCTGTTCTCCTCTTTTGTCCTTTCACACCCATTGGTCATGGACATGCATTATTTTCAGAGACAGAGGTTATTTTTTGCTCTAAAATCTGTCTAACTTGCTGGATACTGCAGGGATCTCTTAATGGTGGCATAGGAAGTAGCTTGGATTGACATTACCCAGTGCATCCATCAGTGTCATCTTCTTCATCCCCGTTTTTTAGGGGACTTCTGGCCATCAGGGTACTGGCACACAGCCTGAATGTGCTGGGAAGGTGGCTGTGGCCCAAACAAGCCAAATCATCTTTATTTATTAATAAACCAGGAAGATAAAGTGGTCAACAAAGATACACAAACAAAAAACCTGCAGAGGCCCAGCAATCTCACCTGACTAAATGACCAAACGTCCCAGATACCAGCTCTTTGTAAAGAACTCTGCTAGGGACTAGGGGCATAATAGTGGATAGTACAGAGACCCTGCTCCAGAAAAGTTCACATTCTGGAAAGTGAAACAAAGGTGCAATCCAACAATGTTTTACATAAACAGGACAACAAAAAGAGAAATGTGTTTTAGGGAAAATAGAGGTTGTCCAGGGGAGGAAGTGGCTCCGTGTGAAGAGGTGGTGTTGAAAGCCTTTACTAGATGAAGTATTTTTCTGAGCTGGGTTTTGAAGGATGATTAAGAGTCTTCTGGGATGGGGCTGTGACTCAGTCTTAGAGTGCTTGCCTAGGATGTAAGGCCCTGGGTTTTATTCTAAGCACTGCATGGAAATAAATTAAAAAAGAAAGAAAGAAGGAAAAAAAGGTTCATCAACAACTAAAAAAATATTTTTAAAAAGTCTTCTCTGAGCAAGAGGGCATTGTAAGCAGAGGAAAGTGCATGAGTAGTTATTTAGATATAACTTTTTTTTAGGTGGAAATCAAAGATTTTGTAATGAGAAAACCAAGGAGAAAAAAACTGATTAGAGGACATTTAATTCAATGTTTCACTTGAGTTTCTGATGAGAAGCAATAACCTTTGGGTGTAATGATAACTCTGATCAAATTTTTTATTAATAATTTTTACAAACCTGAGCTCAAAGATAAAAATGGGCATGTCTCATGATTCACTGCCAACTGCTAAGGTGGAGGGGGCACCTGGCTTCTGCAATAGGGGGTGGTTTTTTCTACTGGCTGTACACCCAGCTCCACTTCCTTTCCAAGCATATAAATATGCCAGACTGACTTTATTGACTCACAGCTGCTCACAGAATGCAAGCTTGGCACCTTTGCCAGTGAAAAGATAGCTCACATAGCTGGAAGTCAAACTCAGAGGAGAAAATTTTGGAAGAAAAGTAGTGATGGATCTGCTCCCAAACTTTTCCATGGAAACCTGGGTTCTCCTGGGAATCAGCCTGGTGCTCCTCTACCTGTGAGTAACTGTTTCAGTTCCTCTCCTTTTGAAACTTCCCATTTCTGTGACTAGGAGTTTTAGTGATATCATTTGATTTGAAGGATGAACTTCTGAGTCTCAGTTTGTACCTAGATTAATCAGCCGGAGTTCTGTAGAGGCAGATTACAAACGACTGGAAACCTTCTGAAAAGTGATGCACCCTCTGCAAACTTTCAGAATTCTGGCTTGTATCCTGTGGAACAGGTGGTTCCTGCTTCACCTCCCACGTCTCAGCACCATTTGTAAAATGCACCAAGTGCACCCCAGGTGCTACCACAGGCACAGACTCAGTTATTCCCTCTGTTCTCTTCCCTTTCAAAGGAACAGCCCTCCCTCCAAAAACTCAATTTCTTCGCCCTGAAATATGCAACTACTGCTGAATGATGAAACTATTGAGCAAAGACTTGGGAGAAATTTTGAACTTTTATTTTTTAAGTTATCATCAGTGTAAAGATTTGTTTCTTTCTTGATTTGAAATATAATGGAAGCTTCAAGAGACAGAAGTTAATAAGCCAATTTTGTATTTTAAACATTTGCCATGATATTCCCATTCAGGAACATGAATAAAATAATCTAGTAGAAGAATTCCTTTAAATAGTGGAATTCCTGGGCTGGGGTTTTGGCTCAGTGAGAGAGAGCTCATCTGGCATGTGTGAGGCACTGGGTTTGATCTTCAGCACCACATAAACATAAATAAATAAAATAAAGGTATTGGGTCTGCCAACAACTAAAACAAATATTTAAAAAATAGTGGCATTCCTGGTTTCATGGATCAGGTAAAAACAGCAGTTATTTCTGACTGAGGGTAGAAAAAATCTTATCCCTGTTTGGGTAAGCTTCTTGAGTTCAGAAGTGAGTCTAACTCACCTCATTGTCCCCATCACTCCTAGAACAAGGGCAGAACTCATTTGCAACTCATAAAGGCCTCATAGTAAGGGTAAAGGGGTCATGGAGTCATCTGATAGTCCAGCAGATAACTGTGAGTGTGTGGCTCACTGCTTGTCTTGCCTGGGCATGTGAACTTACTCCTTCTTGCTGCATGTGTAGTGGAAGGATTGGGAAGAGGCACTGGTTTTAACTTTTCATGTCTTTCTCTATTCAGCATCTTTGGAGCCTATAGTATGGATGTGATAACAGCAACATCATTTGGAGTGAACATTGATTCCCTCAACAACCCACAAGATCCCTTTGTGGAGAAAGTCAAGAAGCTGTTAAAATTTCATTTCTTTGACCCTTTGCTTCTCTCAGTAAGTATGTGGACTACTATGTTTTTTGTTCCCTCTCTCTATTTAAATAAGATCATTATTGATACATAATTAACAATCTTTTAATTACTCCACTTAATTATACAATTAAATTGTTAAGTACAAAGATATACTCAACCATCACTAGTTACCATTTGTCAACTCAGAACCAGACTACAATTCATTATAAACTCTGTATTCCCCAAGCCTAAGCAACCATGGACCTATTTTCTGACTATAGATTTGCTGATACTGTGAATTTTCTATTAACAAATATTACAATATGTGGCTTTGCATGTCTGACTTCTTTCATTTATCATTGTATTTTCAAATTCTTCCATCCTGAAGCATGTATGAGTACTTCATTTCTTTTTTAAAAAAAGTTATTTATTTATTTATTCTATTGAATTATACATGACAGTAGAATGCATTCTACTACATAAAACACAAATGGAGCACAACTTTTCACTTCTGTACTTGTACATGAAGTAGATTCAAACCATTTGTGTCATCATACATGTTCCTAGGGTAATGATGTCCATCTCATTCCACCATCACTCCTACACCCATCGCCCCTCCGTTTTCCTTGCCCTATCCAAAGTTTCTCCATTCCTCAGATGACCCCCCCCCATTATGGATCAGCATCCACTTATGAGAGAAAACATTTGGCTTTTTGTGTTTGGGGATTGGCTTACTTCACTTAGCATGATATTCTCAAACTGTATTCATTTTTGTGAAAATTTCGTGATTTTATTCTCTTTTAATGCTGAATAATATTCCATTGTGTATATGTACCACACTTTTCTTATTCATTCATCTGTTGATGGGCATCTAGGTTGGTTTTACAATTTAGCTATTGTGAATTGAGCTGATATAAACATTAATGTGGCTGCATCACTGTAGTATGCTGATTTTTAATCCTTTGGGTATAAACCAAAAAGTGGGATAGCTGGGTCAAATTGTGGTTCCATTCCAACTTCTCTGAGGAATCTCCATACTGCTTTCTGAAGTGGTTGCACCAATTTGCAGTCCCACCAGCAATGTAAATGCCTTTCCCCTCATATTCACACCAACATATATTTCTGCTTGTATTCTTCATAACTGCCATTCTGACTGGAGTGAGATGAAATCTTAGAGTAATTTTGATTTGCATTTCTCTAATTACTAGAGATATTGAACATTTTTTATATATTTGTTGATCACTTGTGTTTCTTCTTCTGAGAAATGTCTGTTCAATTTCTTAGCCCTTTTTTTGATAGGGTTATTTGTTTTTTTTGTGTTAAGTTTTTTTGAGTTCTCTATACATCCTGGAGATTAGTGCTCTATATGATGTGCATGTTGTCAAAATTTGCTCCCGTTTTTTAGGCTCTCTTTTCACCTTATTGATTGTTTCTTTTATTGATAAGAAGCTTTTCAGTTTGAATTCTTTCCATTTGTTGTTTATTGATTTTATTTCTTGCACTTTAGGAGTCTTGTTAAGGAAGTCAGAATCTAATCTGACATAATGAAAGTTTGGGCCTACTTTTTCTTCTATTAGGTGCAGGGTCTCTGGCCCAATTACTAGGTCCTTGATTCACTGTGAGTTAAGTTTTGTGCATGGTGAGAGGTAGGGAATTAATTTCACATTGTTACATATGGATTTTCAGTTTACCCAGAATCATTTGTTGAAGAGGCTTTTTTTTCCCCCAGTGAATGTTTTTGGCACCTTTGTCTAGTATGATATAACCATATTCATGTGGGTTTGTCTCTGTGTCTTCTATTCTGTACCATTGGTCAGCAAGTCTATTTTGGTGCAGATACCATGCTGGTTTTGTTTCTATAGTTCTGTAGTATAGTTTAAGGTCCGGTATAGTGATGCTTCCTGCTTCACTTTCTTGTTAAAGATTGCTAGCTATTCTGGGTCTCTTATTTTTCCAAATAAATTTTTTGATTGCCTTTTTTATTTCTATGAAGAATGTCGTTGAAATTTTAATGGGGATTACATTAAATCTGTATAACACTTTTGGTAGTATGGATTTGCCAGAATTTAATTAAGACTTTTTGCATCTATGTTCATTAAAGATATTGGTCTGAAATTTTCTCTTGTTGATGTGTCTTTGGCTTGTTTTGGAATCAGAGTGATTGAATAAGTTTGGAAA